TTAAACCATTCCCCGGCAACGGCGCCAAAATTTTGATAGGAAATTAGTCGCTTATCCTCAAAATTACACTAAAGCTAACCCTAATGCAATATAGGGCCAACCCTAGGTCATCTCCCAAGGAATGGTTTTAAGTCTAATTGAAAGTTATCTAGTGAAATAAATCAACCAAAGTTTGTAGGAATTTAGTTACCTAGCTAATTATCTAAACTAATTACCTAATGTGCAAGTAATTAAAATGCTAGTGAAAGTGAGTGAAATGAACTTCCCTTTTTACAATAATGGAACCCTAGAGATTAGTTGATTTTGGACTCATTATCTTCTCATGATTAGGCTAAGTTTAGCTTCCCTTTCCTCTTGACTAAAGCTGTCATGACTTAAGAAAATTATCCTAAGCCAATTAACCTAATTAGCTAACCTCCCTAGGTCTTAGATTAAAGTCCCTAGTTCAATTAACCAATTGGTGAAGACATTAGCCAAGTGATTCACTCAAAATCCTCTCTCAACAGCCATGGTCAAACACATAAATTGAGCAACCACAAGATTATGTCAAGCTACTCAACAACACAAGCATTAACACCACAAGATTATGCAATATTAACACAAGAAATTCACTAATTGAAAAACACAAGATTATGTGCCAAACAAAGAGTGGCAAAATTCAGTCATGGCTGTCCAAGGAAGAAATTAAATGAAACAATCCTCTCTCTTTACATCAACATCAAATTCAAATTAGAATTTATAAGCTAAGATGATTAAACCCTAGATTAAGGAATCTAACCATCTAGTAAAAAGAGAAGAGGATAGGAAACAAAAGAACTTAGCCAATTTGAAGCTCAAGACTCATCCTCCATCTTCATCTCTCTAGGATTCCACAAAGAAACTTAGCCAATCTTCATCTTCAAGAACCCTAGTGATTGCTTGTGAAGGCCAAACTCCATAGCTCTTGAATGATGGAAATGAGCTTCAATCCTTGTGAAAATGGAAGGGATGGAACGAAAATGAAGAGAGGAGAAGAATGGTATGAGTTTTGTGGAGGTTTGGTGGCTGAAAATGGAGGTTAGGGTGCTGGAAAATGAAGAACAAAAGAGAGAAAATGAAGAACACTATGAACAAGAGAGAGAGAATGTGGAAGATGAATGAGATATGTGTTGGATCCCATTTGGGACTTAAAATGGCGTGCTCCTTGGTGTCTCCCATCAGCTGAAGCTTAATTAAAATAAGGAAAAAGAAATTAAAATGTAAATGGGAGCCTTGTCACACTTGCAAGGTGGCAACTTCCTATTGGTTTGTAGATGATTCCAATGTGTGCCTAATTTTCCATGTGTCATCCACATCATTTTAGCTGATCTAATCCCTCAAAATAATCATAATTCACGTGCAAACCATCAGCCATTGTCCTCAAGGAGTGTTGACCTCAATTGCCCAATTGATGCACAAGTCACATGCCACCTATGTCACATAAATCACATAATTCAATTAAATAGCATATGATATAATAAAATCTAATTCATGTCCAGAATTAAATTCATAATTAGAAGGGAGAATTTATTAAATTAACCAAGTTTTAGGCTGCACAAAATTATATAAAAATTTTCACACAAAGGCAAACCAAAAACTAGGACAAACTAAGACACTTAAGAAAGTGTTGACTTTTTTATTTAATTACTCCCAAACTAAAATGAATTTTAAAAATATAATTTCACCATTCATCAACTGGACATAAAATGCACTTTGTCAATTTTCTTGTACATTTTCTCAAAAGTTCATTTTTTGGACCAAAATGCCCCTAGTGCACTGATCTTAGAAACTTAGGCAAAGTTCCAAATCTAATGCAATGTGTGCACTTGAAGGTGATAAATCATTAATAAAATGGTCCTAATTGACAAATAAAAGTGGGTAACAAATGTGTTTTATCATCGCCCATGGCCTAATTTTGGATTAACAAATGCTGAATTGTACCATAACTTTTGGCAGCCTAATTATTAGGTCCATGACCTTATAAGCTTCTTGGTCCGCCTTACCCAACATGGTATAATCCAAATGTTATTTGAATATCGTATGAGTGCACCTGGACACTCAATAGAAGACTGTGTGACGTTTAAAAGGAATGTGCTAGACCTGGTTGATTCTAATCATATCCAGCTTAAAGAAGAGGGAAGCTCTACCATTACCACTGATCTACTTCTAAATCATGAAAAATAAGTCAACGCTATTGAAGAAGAGGATGCGTGTTTCAAAAGCTCTACAAGGATCAAGATGCCTATGAACGAGCTTTATGCTCACTTAAAGGAATATGGCTATATACAAGAAATGCTCCTCACAGATAATATCAATGATTAAATGCCTAGATACTATGAATATCATCAGGAGAAAATAGGCCATAGAAAGTTGTGAATAGTTTAAAGAAGCTATTAGAAAAATGATGGTGCTAGGGATTGTGTCTGTAAAGAAGGGAGACACCAAAGTATGCATGATAGAGAAAAAGTGTATTGAGCTTGTCATTAATTCAAGCACAAAATAGCAAGTCCAGGCAGTCTCTTTTGTGATCAACAAAGCCTCTATAGATCTTATACCTCACACAAGACAACCAACATTGACCATAAGCACGCCTCATCCCTTTCCCTATGAAAGTGATCGAGCAGTCCAGTGGAGATATTAAAGCATTGTGGACAACCACAATAACCCAACATTAATTTTCGGAACAAGCAATGAAATAGCAAACCCAAGGGGTGTTACTCGAAGTAGAAAGCCATACTTACTATCTTACGTTAGAAAAATGGTAAGAGAGAAAAATGCAAATGTTGACAGGCCAAAGGAAGACAATCCCAAAGAAATGGAAAATTAGAATATGAGTTTCTATCGATTATGAAGCAAAGTGATTACAGCATTGTGGATCAATTGAAGAAAACTCTAGTGCGTATCTCAATATTTTCTTTGATTTTGAATTCCAAAGCGCATCACCAAGCATTGCAAGAAGTGTTGAATCAAGCTTTCATGCAGCCTAATATAACCCCTGAGAAGGTGGCAAGTGTAATGAATGTTGTAAAAGCCTTCTCTACCATTTCCTTTTCGGAAGAGGAAGTTACAGAAACTACTGTCCACCAAACTAAAGCTTTGCATATCACTTTAAAATGTGAAGGGTTCATAATCACAAGAGTATTGATTGACAGAGGATCAGCATGAAATGTCTTACCACTCTCCACATTTAAATCATTGTCACTAGAAGTTCAAGTGTACACAAAAGCAATATTGTGTTAAGAGCATTCGATGGATCAAGACGAGAAGTATTAGGATCCGTTTGTCTCTCTCTGGAGATAGGACTAAGCATGTTTAAGGTGGATTTCCAACTCATGAACATAGATCCAAGCTACACAATACTACTAGGAAGGCCATGGATTCATTCTGCTAGGGCTGTTCCTTCTACCTTACACTAAAAGGTTAAGTTCATTAGTAATGGGGGAATTATAGTAGTCAAAAGAGAGGAGGAAATCATGGTGAGCAAACCAAGCTCACTCTCTTATATTGAGGCTACAGAGAAGGATCATGGAGTTTCATTTCAAAGCTTGGAGGTTGAGGGTATTTGTGATAATACACATAACATCAATTCCATTGTTGCTAAAATCATGATGAAGAGTGGGTTTATGCCAGGGAGAGGTTTAGGCTCTCATTTACAAGGAATTACGTGTCCAATTAAGGTTTTGGATAATTGTAATTGCCAAGGGTTAAGGTATGAGCCTACCCTAGAAGACCAGGTGAAAGACAAAGCAAGTTTGGTGAAAGGCAAAAAGGCCAATAAATTAGAGATTCCACACATCAAAGAATCCTTCCCAGGCCCATTTGAGGTGATATGTGAACCAAATATCTCAGTGATCTCTTCCAATGAAGATGTAGCATGTGGAATAAGTGCTCAATTACAATCAATAATTCCAGCAAAGTGCTGGCGAATTAGGATTTTGAAGAGGCCAATGATATTATTAGCTTAGAGTAATTGTTTCAATTATGTTGTCCCTGTTTTGTTATTCCCTTTTTGAGCCCAGGTTTAGGTAATAGATCCTGGGTATTCTCTAATGCAAACCTTTGACTCACATAATTTTTGAAAGTGAATTTTAATTGCATTCATGTCTCTCTCTTTATTCCACCCTATCTACTTCAGTTCATTTTTTTCCCTTCCTTTTCTTTTCCATATTTTTATTTCATTCCATACTCATTTCTATCATCTAGGGATTTTGTTTCTTTTGATTCTATCTCTCACCCAGGGGTTAATAAACCCTATGAAGATGATCCACTTGTTGCTACTGATATGCATAATTATGAGTCCGATGATGAAGACATAATCCAAACTTTTTCTAAGATGCTTAAATTGAGTGATAAGGGAATATGCCCATATGAAGAAGTGATTGAGATGATTAATATGGGAATTGAGGAGGATCAAAAAATTCTCAAAATAGTAGATAATCCTAAAAGGGAATGAATGATTGAGTTGTTTAAAGAATACATAGATATGTTTGCATGGTCCTATAATGATATGCCTGGGCTATACCCAAACATTGCTTCCCATAAAATACCATTGCTTCCTAAGGTTGAGCCTAAGTAACAGAAGTTAAGGAGAATGAATACGGGGGTGTCCTTGTAAATAAAAGAAGAAGTAATGAAGCAGTTAGAAGCAAGATTCTTGGAGGTAGTAACTTACCCACAATGGGTGGCAAGTATTGTTCTCGTTCCTACAAAAGATGGTTGGATTTAAATGTGTGTTGATTATTGTAATTTAAATTATGCGAGCCCAAAAGATGATTTTCTACTACCCCATATTAATGTATTGGTTGATAATATTGCTCGAGCCTATTGCTATTCCTTTATGGATGGTTATTCGGGGTACAATCAAATCCCTATGCATGAAGGAGATAAAGAGAAAACAACCTTTACAACCCAATAGGGAACTTATTATTATCGGGTGATGCCTTTTGATTTTGAAAAATGCTGGGATAACTTATCAACGAGCTATGACAGTACTATTCCATGACATAATGCATAAAGAAATTAAAGTATATGTAGATGATATGGTAGCTAAATCAACAGAGAATGAGAGTCATGTTGAAGTCCTTAGAAAGCTATTTTTGAGATTGCGTAAATATCGACTAAGATTGAATCCAAATAAATGCATCTTTGGAGCTCTTTCTGGGAAGTTACTGGGGTTTATTGTGAGTCGTAAAGGGATAGAAGTAGATTCAGATAAAGTGAGGGCAATTCAAGAAATGCCATCTCCCCAAATAAAGAAAGAAGTTAGAAGTTTCTTGGGACAATTGAATTACATTGCTAGATTCATTTCCAATCTAACAGCTACTTGCAACCCGATGTTTAAGCTGTTAAAGAAAAATTGTAAGGAGACATGGGATGATGATTGTCAAAAGGCCTTTGATAAAATTAAAGATTATTTGTTAAATCCCCAAATTTTGGTCCCTCCGTCACCAGAACATCCACTAATCTTCTACTTGGCAACTTTACCTTGCTCAATGGCAACAATGCTAGGTCAACGTGATGATTCTGGAAAGAAATTCTTGAGCAAAAAGTTCAACGATTGTGAAGTTCGTTATCCAATGATTGGGCAAACTTGTTGTGGACTAGTATGGGCAACTAGAAGGCTAAGGAAATACATGCTTTACTACACTACCTGGCTAATCTCGTGAGTGGATCCACTCAAGTACATCTTTGAGAGCCCGCACATTGTACGTAGAGTACTGAAATGGCAAGTTATACTATCTGAATATGATATAAAGCATGTGATATAAAAGTCAGTCAAAGGTAGTGCGATAGCAGATCACTTGGCCGATAATCCTTTAAAGGATAACCAGCCATTAGATTTTCAATTTCCTGATGAAGGCATATGCACTATAGAAGAAGGTTGTGATGAAGGAAATGATGAAGAGCAAGAATGGGAAATGTATTTTGATGGAGCCACCAACATGTATGGAAATAGGGTAGGAGCGGTGATCGTTTCACCAAAAGGAAAACAATTTCCAATGGCCATCAAATTAGAATTTGATTGTACTAACAACATAGTAGAATATGAAGCTTGTCTTAATGGTCTTCGAGCAGCTATTATCCTTAGTATACAATGTTTGAAGGTGTTTGGTGATTCAGCTCTCATTATTCATCAAGTAACAGGAGAATGGAGAACAAAGGATGCAAAATTGATTCCCTATCAAGAACTCTTAACAAATTTGATTAAGCAATTTAAGGTTGTTAGCTTTCATCACTTGACTCAAGATAAAAATCGTTTCGCGGATGCTTTAGTTACTTTAGCAGCAATGATCTAACTTAATTGTGGAGTCCATGTCCAACCCATTCGAGTAGAAGCTAGAAGCTTTCCAGCATACTGTCTGAATGTTGAAGAAGATCAAGAAGAATATCCTTGGTTTTAGGATATTAAGGACTATATTACTAAGAGATCATACCTAACTGGAATGACTGAGAATGAAAAGAAAACCCTTTGTCGTTTGGCTATGACATTCTTTATTAGTAAAGATGTTCTGTATAAGAGGGGTTACGATGGTATCTTACTTCACTGTGTGAGTTCAGAAGAAGCAAAGAAAATCATGGTTGAGGTACACGAAGGCATATGTGGTACGCATGCGAATGGTCACATTATGGCTAAACAGATTCAAAGGTGTGGCTACTTTTTGTTAATAATGGAGAAAGATTGCTTTGAGCGTGTCAAGAAATGCCACAAATGTCAGATTTATGCTAATAGGATAAATGCTCCTCCAATCCCATTACATAATTTGGTCTCACCCTGGCCATTCTCAATGTGAGGAATTGACATTATTGGTCCAATTAACCTAAAAGCTTCAAATGGACATCGCTTCACCCTTGTCGCGATTGATTATTTCACAAAATGGCTAAACGCGAATTTATTTGCTAGTACATTGCAAAAGACGTTCTTTAAATTTATAAGGACAAATATTTTATGCCGATATGGGATTCCTGAAAGGATCATTACTGATAATGGTCCCAATCTCAATGGAACAGAAGTCATAAACTTTTATGAGAAGTTCCAAATCAAGCATAATAATTCGGCCCTATATAGATCTTAAATGAATGGAGCAGTTAAGCAGCCAATAAAAATATTAAGAAGATCATTAGGAAAATGATAGTAACTTATAAGGATTGGCATGGTTATCGTACTACTGTATGCATATCCATAGGGGTAACCCCATATTCCCTTGTTTATGGAATGGAAACTGTCACACCTATTGAGATGGAAATTCCATCCTTGAGAGTATTAACTGAGGCAGATTTAGAGGAAAATGAATGGGTAAAAACCCAATTTGAGAAACTCAACACGATTGAAGAAAAAAGGCTTACTGCAATATATCTTAGACAATTGTACCAAAAGAGAATGGCCAGAGCTTTTGATAAAAAACTTTACCCATGGGAATTCAGTGCTGGTGACCTGGTACTCAAGAAAATATTCCTTAACCAAGAAGATAATAGAGGTAAATAGGCTCTGACCTATAAGGAACCTTATGTCGTCAAACATGCCTTTTCTGGAGGAGCATTGATCCTAGCTGACATAGACAGTCAAGAGTTAGCAAAGCCCATTAATGTGAATGCTGTCAAGTGTTACTTTGCTTAAACAAAAAATGAAAAAGAAAGAAGCGCTCGTTGGGTTGAAAACCTATAAAGGCAACCTAGGTAAAAGTTAGAGCCAATAAAAAATGAAAAGGAAAGAATAGCTCGTTGGGTTGAAAACCTGTAAAGGCAACCTAAGCAAAAGTTAAAGCAAAAAACAAGCAAAGCAATGATAAGAAGAATAAGAGTTCACCAAGACAAAAGGATGTCTTAAGAGAAGAAAGGAAGGCATAAGAAGTTAAGTATCTATGTTTGGGAAGTTGACTCCATCGCCCCTCACACTATACATATCAATGGCAGCTCAGTGAAGTACTTGTAAGGGTTTTGAAAAGCTAAATGAGAGAGATGTGATTAAGTAGATCCACATATCCCATTTAGGCTTAGGCCATTTGTACTCATAAACCCATATATTCCCATTTCTCTATGAATTTTGGCATTAGAGAATGAATTTTTCCACCCTTGCTCCTTTAAGACCATCTTTGTTCTCTTTTCATGTTATCATATTCGAATTCATATCTCATATATTACAGCAGGTTCACATTCAAGGAACAATATGTATTGATACATTTACTTGACGTAGAAGGCTAGTATCTTTATTCTTACTTTTCGCCCTTGAGGTATCAAGATCATCGCGTAGGTGTAAAATGATAACGAGAGTATGTGTGCTATCAGTATTCAGTCATAATAATTGATCTCATTAACTTGAAGGCAAGATCAAGTGACGAGAATTTGGTTGTTTGAATTTTTTAATAAGGGGCAATGGCATATTGTGATACTACACTTATTAACGAATAAAGGTTAAATAATGGACTTGGAGGTATTACTTTGTGTTTAAAATGGTTTATTCAATATGCACAAAAATTTTCAAAAAGGAATATTTATTAAGATAGTTGTCAACATCAAGCCTTTTAGTAAAATTTTTTTGCAATACATTTGCATTATTCATACATTTGCATTGGGGCAAATGAGCGCTTCTTACCCTTTGCATTTATTGCAAAAAGAAGTCTCATAAATTCAGACAAACAAAGGTTCAAACCTTTTACATTGCAAATCATCAATCTATGGTATATTGTACATATTTTAAGCACCTATGAAAAAATCATACATGGTGCATTACTACATTGCATTCCTTGTCATAGAAACATGCCTCATTTGGATTGGGGCAAAGTAAAATTTTAAAAAAAAAAACCTGAGGAAGTAAGAGAAGAAATAATAAATCTCACTTATGAGTTCCTCATATTTTCCACATGAGATAGAACCTATTCTTACACCCCCAAAGCCCAATACCGACTGGCACGATTCATTAAAAGCCCTGTTATGGCAGGCACCCCAAAGCCCAATACCGGCTGGCACGATTCTTTAAAAGCCCTGTAACGGCAGGCACCCTAAAAGCCCAATATCAGCTGGCATAATTCTTTAAAAGCCCTGTAACGGTAGGCACCTCAAAGCCCAGTACCGGCTGGCACAATTCTTTAAAAGCCCAATCACGGTAGGAACCTCAAAGCCCAGTATCGGCTGGCATGATTCTTTAAAGCCTTGTAATGGTAGGCACTCTAAAGCCCTGTCATGGCAGGCACCTCAAAGCCTAGTACTGGCTGGCACGATTCTTTAAAGCCCTGTAACGGCAGGCACCCCAAAGCCCTGTCACGACTGGCATGATTCTTAAAAGCCTTGTTACGGCAGACATCCGAGAGCCCAGTACCGGTTGGTATGATTCTTTAAAAGCTTTGTAACGGTAGGCACCCTAAAGCCCTGTAACGACAAGCACCCCAAAAGCCCAGTACTGGCTAGCATAATTCTTTAAAAGCCTTATAACGGCAGGCACCCCAAAGCCCTGTCACGGCAGGCACCCCAAAGCCTAGTACCAGCTGGTATGATTCTTTAAAGCCCTGTAACAGAAGGCACCCTAAAGCCAAGTTCCGGCTGGCACCATTCTTTAAAGCCCTATAATGGCAGGCACCCTAAAAGCCCAGTACCAGCTGGCTCGATTTTTTAAAAGCCCTGTAACGACAGGCACCCTAAAGGCCTATCATGGTAGGAACCTTAAAGCTTAGTACTAGCTGGCACGATTATTTAAAGTCCGGTAACAGCAAGCACCCTAAAGCCCTATCACGGCAAGCACCTCAAAGCCCAGTACTAGTTGTCATGATTCTTTAAAGCCCTATAACGGCAGGTACCCCAAGGCCCTGTAATGGTAGGCACCCCAAAGCCTTGTCACGGCAGGCACCTCAAAGCCTAATACCAATTGGCACGATTCTTTAAATGCCCTGTAATGGCAGGCACCTCAAAAGCCAGTACTGGCTGGCACGATTCTTTAAAAGCCCTGTAATGGCAAGCACCCTAAAGCCTTGTCATGGCAGGCACCTCAGAGCCTAATATCGACTAGCACAATTCTTTAAAGCCCTATAACAGCAGGCACCCCAAAGCCTAGTACCAACTGGCACAATTCTTTAAAGCCCTGTAACTGTAGGCACCCTAAAGCCCTGTAACGGCAAGAACCCCAAAAGCCCTGTACCGGCTGGCACAATTCTTTAAAAGCCTTGTAACGATAGGCACCCCAAAGCCCTATCACAGTAGGCACTTCAAAGCCCAGTACTAGCTGGCACGATTCTTTAAAAGCCCTGTCACGGCAGGCACCCCAAAGCCTAGTACCAACTGGCACAATTCTTTAAAGCCCTGTAACTTTAGGCACCCTAAAGCCCTGTAACGGCAAGAACCCTAAAAGCCCTGTACCGGCTGGCACAATTCTTTAAAAGCCTTGTAACGGTAGGCACCCTAAAGCCCTATCACGGTAGGCACCTCAAAGCCCAGTACCGGCTGGCATGATTCTTTAAAAGCCCTATCATGGCAGGCACCTTAAAGCCCAGTACCGGCTGGCACGATTCTTTAAAAGCCCTGTCACGGCAAGCACCCCAAAGCCCATACTGACTAGCACGATTCTTTAAAGCCCTGTCATGACAGGCACTCTCCAAGCCTTGTAAAGGAAATCAGCCACCAGGTCCTTTGGAACGTAGGCAATTCATCTCTATTGAGGATTTGTTTTGTTTATTTCTTAAATCAAATTTCATTTTAAACTCTTTGTTTTATTTGGTTTTGTTTTTGTTTTGTTTAATTGTAGATACTCAAGAGTCTTGCCCTTCCAAAAAAAATACATATTTCTCTCTTCATTCATTTCTAAGATAAGAATATCACCTCATGAAATTCTCAATTAGAAATCAAATGAAGAGGCATCTAGTCAACGTATATTTTGTTTGGATCATTGTCATTTAGTCATGTTCATTCTCATCACATTACTAAAAAAACACAAAAAAATCATGTCATTATGTTTGTTAAGCAATACTCTTACGTTTAATCATATCTTGTCATCTCAAGGGCAATCAGGTCTATTTATAGGTATTGCATAGCTAACCAAAATACATGTTCTATCTTTACTTGTCACTTATGTAAGAATTCAAAAACACATTATTTCATATACTTACATCAGAAACAAGTAAAGAGGGGTAACTGTCAACACCGTATTTTGTCCGAACATTTTTTAAATAATAATAAATAACCAAAATATATAAAAATATAATAAACATAATTAAAACAAAAGAGCTATCAGGATTTTTAGGATTATATTTTTGTAAAAGAGTTATTATATTTTCTTTTTATGATTATATTTTTAAAAATATTTGCTTAATCCAAAATCATTTTTTAAGTCCCTTAATCCAATTTTTGAAATTAATAAACATAATTAAAAAAAAGAAGAGTTATTAAAAATTAAAATATACAAAGTAAGTTGGGTCCTTCATGCACATGTTACAGCAAAAGTAAAAAAAAATGCAAGGCTGGACGAAACATGCACCAGCACAGCACACAAGAGAGTAGAAACATGAACAGAAACATGCAGTAATACACACGTAGAAGCACAGACCAGAGAGAAGCAAGCACAGAACAAAAGAAAAGGGAAGAGGAGAGAAAGCCGAAAAGATCAGCCTCGCGTGCATGTAAACATGTGAACAGAAACTAGAGTCACAGAGGTAAAATAAAATGCAGAGTAGAGAAAAAAGGAAGCATGCACACACAGCTAGAGGAGGCAGAAACAGAGTAGGGAGCTTTCGGCACACGCAAAAAATGTAGTGGAAGAGAAGGGAAAAGGAAGAAGTAGAGAAGGAGAGTAATGATTCACCTTTTCCATTCTCTATATAAGGAGATAATGAAGAGAGGCGGGGGAACCAAAGAAAAAGAAATAGGGGCTAGACCAAAAAAAACAGAGACTAAGATGAGGAAGAAAAGACCAAGACTAAGACGAGAAAGAGAGAGACAGGACAAAAATGAAGAAGGAGGAGTTCGGAGAGAAAGAAGAAATGAAGAGAGAGTCTGGAGAGAAAGAGAAACAGAGACGAAGAGGGAGAAAGAGAAGAAAATGCCATAGTCATGGGACACGAAAATAGAGCATCGAGGATGAATGAGGTAAAGACAAAGATCAGAAGCTGAAACAGAGGCTGAGAAAGGAAGAGACTGAGACGAAGAGAAAGGAACCGAAGGAGCTGTTCTGGTTAAAAAAGAAGAAACCAAGACGACGAGAGAAGAAGCTATTCTGGCTAGGAAAAGAGAAGCCGAGAGGACAAGGAAGGAGATGTTTCATCAGAGGCTGTAATATCATGTAGTGATGCGATGAAAGACTTGAGGCCATAATCTCTATCCCCTTTACTATCTTCGCTAACACTGACTGCTCCAAGTAATATAATCCTCTCATTTCTTTAATCCTTATGTTACTCTCAACATGTTTTTTTCTCTTCCATGTATTATATGAAATCTAATTATCCCAATGTTATCATTCTTGAATTATAAATATGTGGCTTGTTATGGATTTTATGATTTGTGTAC